TGATTGGGAAGTTCTTAGTTGATATCAAAGGTGCAATCCACAAATCCCATGTGTTAAGTATGGAGAGTCGATTCACCCAGGCTTCGATGGGATTTTCCTTACTTGCCTTCAAGCGCTTCATTCAATCGATTTGCTTTGGCTGGTAGCTGTGCCAAGGCAATGAAATTGTTCTCGAATCAGCTCGCAATTGAAGAAGATAGTTCTTCTTCTAACTACCGAGGGTCGACGATACGAAGACTAAGAGTCTCACAAACTCTATGACTGAACTTCTAAAGATTACATTGACCTCTCTTTGCTCTCCTTGTAAGTCGAGCAGCTTTCGCCCCTTCAATTCAAAAAACCTCGATAAGCTTCTCCCGTTGGTCACCTCAACCTCACTTTGAATTTGACATGAGAAGGGAAATATCCAAAACCATGTCTTATTATTTTCAATAATCCATACTTGTAGCAATAAAATCCTATTATTCCTCCCAAAAATATCTATTAGATAGATTCTCGACCAGAAATGCCCTGTGATAGTCTCATTGGAAAGTGCATTAACATAAATACAGCAGTAAGAAGCGGCAATACAAAAGAAAGTATGTAAACTAGAAAAACGAGTCAAGGTGTCCCACACTAGCACTTCCGCGCAACAATTCTACCAAAGGCGATCCTATTACAGGAATAGCCTCAGGTACACCTGTTACAATTTGGACCGCCCTATAACCAATTTGGTGCCGAGGGTCGATGTAATTGAGGTTACGCCAAAAGATGCGGTCAATACTGCCAGAACCACACCTGTAACCCAAGTCGCATTCGCGAGGGTCGATTACATTGAGCCGGTGAGATATACACGAAAAACATGTAGAATCATCATTAGGACCATCATACTTGCCGACCATCGATGAACTGATCGGATTAACCAACCAAAGTGAGCTTCCGTCATTATGTATTGAACAGAGGCAAAAGCTTCAGTAACGGTCGGACGATAGTCAAAAGTCATAGCAAACCCCGTAGCTACTTGTACTAAAAAACAAGCAAGTAAGCCCCCTAAACAATAAAATATATTGACATGGGGCGGAACATATTTCCCCGTTATATCATCCGCAATCGCCTGAATCTCGAGACGTTCTTCGAACCAATCATAGACTTTATTGAGATAGGTTCAAATCCCCCTCTCAGAGCCGTATATGAGACTTGAATCTCGTACAGCTCAAGCAAAAACACCCAAATAAAATAATAGTAGGTGTAATAGAAAGTTTGAAACTTCTTCCTTTATGACTTCAAACAAGCAAGGGATTGAGCAAGACGCGCGAAAGCCGTTGCGCTAACGCGCATCCGTTTTCTTGCTGGGATGTAATTGATTTTTTCCTTTTGAATTTCTCCCCTTCCCCTTGCTGTCTACCACTCTCTCGCTCAGACCAGTCTTCCACTTGTTACGTAGCCGCCATTTTAGACAGAGATGGGGGGCTTAAGCTGCTATTTAGAAGCATTAAACTCCTGGAATTAGTTGTTCAAACCTTGCATGGGAATACTCCTCTCTTTGCTGTTTGAAGCTACTAAGCCCGGCTGTACCGATTAATACTCCTCTCTTCTGCGGTTTGTTTCTTCGAATGCTGGAACAAAACACCTGGATTTACTCCTTCGGTAAGTTTCCAGTTCGAATAAACCAAAGGAACCGCTGCCTAACCACTTGGCATTACTCCTCATACCTACCATTGGAGGGCTATAGGAGGGCAGAGTAAAGGGATCCGAACCCCGAAGCCTGAACTGTAAGGGTTAATGGTTGTTCCTGAGCTAAGCCCTAGCTACTGGGAGTTAGTTGTTCTTTCTTACCCTAGCTACCTTTTGTTCCTTGCCTCTTACCCTCGCTAATGGAGTGTTGCTATCTATCTGTCTATTCTTTCAGGTCTATCTATCTGTTGAGCCTAGCTATCCATTCCTCTAAGGGCTATTCCTATAAGGGCTATCTATCCGTTCCTATCCTTTCAGGTAACCCCTCGATACTGGTAAACCCTAGCTACTTTTTGTTACTGAACCAAGTACGCATGACAAACAGGTAAGCGATCGAACAGGACAGATACGAGGAAATCGAAGATTCGGTCCCCGCTTTTCTTACTTTTATATCAATAACCGAGTAAAGATTAGCCTTTCTGTCTTCCTTTCTTGGCAGCAGGATTGGTACTGAAATCGATAAATGGATAAATATCGACCAAAGGACCTTTGGAGGCTTTCAGGAACAGAGATCGATAAAGAGCTACCTTTGGAGGTTGGGTTACCAATTTCCCCTTAGATCTCAGATATTTACAGATGTTTCCGGTAAAACCACTAAGGGTAAATACAACTAAGGCCCCTGAAAAACCGGCAATAGGGAATCACAAGCACGACCTCTTTTGCGCGCGTTTTCCTCACCGGGGTTTTTGGTCGATCTTTTCCGACTGGGGAAGACAGGACCGTTGGTATTGGATTTCCTGAGATCTGATCTTACTTTGAAAAAGTAAAGTACCTAACATTGGTGTGAAAATGTAACTGATAGTTCGAAACGTTCCTAGCTGTAGAGCAGGAGGCTTCGAAGCCATGTGTATGCCCCACACCTTTGTCTGTCCTGTCTGACTTGGAGAAAGAGCGGACTAAGGGGCGTCATTCCCCCGGTGTATTAATAGGATTTGGATTTCGTGCTACTGAATATAAGTTTACAATCTTGTACGAATATAGGAAAACCAGGTCCTTTTGCGTCTCCTGCAGTCCAAGATCTGAACAAGAAAGACTAAGCTGTTCGTCTTCCTGAGCTGATGGACATATTCTTAAGCTTCCGGATCTTCCTTAGATGTTCTCTTTGTCAGATGGCTTCCAACCGGCGTAAGGAATACCAGTTTCCGATCTCCTAGCCCCTATATAGTTATGCCCTATCTCTGGATGCGCTCTTTAGCTTCCTGCTGTCTTACTTTCAGAAAGAGCGGCCTCAAGGTTAATTACATCAAGCCTCCCGTGTATGAATAGAGGAATAGGGCTGAATAGTTTTCCAGTCTTGATTTGAAAAAAGGAAAGTACCTTCCAAAGGGGGTCAAATACCCCTCACCCCCTTGACCCTAACCCAACAAACGAAGCGAAGCGCAGTGAAGTCAAAAGTATTGGCAAAGTTGACCTCTCCTGGCAACTAAGAGTATAAAAAAACTACAAAGACTAGCTCGCTCAGCTCGTGCAAGCACGGTGTAGCTAAAGCTTCGGTTCGGTACACGGAACACCAAGCCAATCGAAAAAGAAAAAGCAGATCAAAGTCCTCAATAGTCAGATAGGATCGTAGGCATACGTTTACCGGCTTTGCGGGTTATCTAAACCACTCGAGGCTAAGCTCTATTGGGCGCTGCTTTCTTGATTCACTCCATGACTAAGGACGCTCTTTTTTCTACTTTTTTTCTTTCTTCTCTTATTCAATTTCGAGTTGTAGGTAAACCAAGACGCACATCCACCAGATAAGCATATAGTTTTTTTATGATCCTCAAGTTCAAGTCGTTGGGCGCTTCGTGGCCCTATCTATCCGCCGTCTTTCCACAGGGGCTCCCCTTCGTTGTTCTTATTGTTCTATGAGGAGCGCTCACGTAGCTAATCGGTAAAGGCAGCGACTCTCTCTGCAGCTATGAGAAAAAGCGGCTAGACTAGCTCGAGCTATGACTTATATTATATACGTGTTCGAGATCACCCAATGCAAATGTGAATTTGAACTCCACTGCTCATCCTCTGAGCTGACAAGACCTAGGGCTAGGAGGTGTGGGATGTCTTCCCTTCCTGAGTTAGTGCCAAAAGAATAGTAAGCAATGATCATGTTGCCAGCATGCTATGCGACTAGTCGATTATCTTACTAAGCTAAGAACTGGATCTCCATCCAAGAAAGTCAATAGAGATTTTTTATGGCTTTCAGTGCCCCTAGCACGAGATCATCGAACTGCACTTTAATTAAGAGGTTCACTTCACTGGTGGTATGCTTTAGGACTCTTCACTGAATGACTCCTGACTGTTAAGAAACTTTTGCTTTTTG